AGAAAAAAAAAAAAAAAAAGCCCAGTTCTTTTGTCTTTTTTTTTTTTGTGTGTGTGTGTGAAAAGAACGGAAATCAAAGTAAAAATATTGTACTGAAAAAGGTCCTTTACTTCTAATGCTGCAATAAAGTCTGTGTAGAGAGATTTTCGTAAAATCTCATAGATTTCATGAAGAAGATAGTGGATTTTGTAGGTTTTTTTTCACTGTCACTTAGTTTAATATGTAGCCATCTTCAGCTGAAATCTTAAAAAGATCTTCAGGTTTCTTAGGGATTTAAACAATTTTGTGACCTTCCCCTCTGGCCTGCTTCCAGTAGAGGATACTCTACTATCTAATATTCTGCCAAAGTTTTTTGTCAGCAGTGGATTGAATTTGATGGGTGCTTTATAGATAGGGAGGAATTTTTGAAAGGCTTCTGCCTTTGACCTGATTCAGGTCCTGTTGAAGTTAGGTGATAAAATAATTGACTACAGGGGAAGCAGACCTGAACTGAGCACTGTTGAAAATCACAGTTCCAATATGTGATACACAAAAGATCGTTCAAATTGGAATAGACCCTGTTTCCATTTGTTATTGAATTAGTCAAAGTAATGCTGCTGTAGGGAGCAGTAGCCTTCAGTGTTGGAACACCCTTATGTAAAGCAGAATCTGAAATGATCTATTAAAGAACTATCACCCTTTCTCTGCCCCCACTTTCCCCCCCAATGTGTTTTAACAGCACATAAGCAGTAGAAGGCACAAAGACAGAGCTGCTGGGAAGCCACCTAAACCTAAATACAGCCCTTACAACAAACTCCAGAAGGGAACACATCCTCTAGGGGTAAGTCAAACACCTTTTTTATTTTACTTTTATTTTAGCAGGCTGAGTATGGGTTTTAAAAATTACTAAAATGAGAGGAATAGTGTCAGCAATGGGAGTATACAAGTGTATGAGCCCATGGAAGCCCACAAGGGACTTCTTCTATACTCTGATGGGTGTTGACTACAACCTGGGACCTCGGTTTTGTAACTACTCTGAATAACCCCAGGAGAGAAGCTCGTTTCAAAGGTAATTAAAGAGGAAGAGATGAAAGAGACATCCAGATGTCAAACAGGATTTTTCCAGTTTTCTACAGGACAGTAGGAATGAAATGGCTAAATAATACTCTATAAAACGTGAAACCTTTCTTCTATTTAGAAAATTATTCAGATAACAGTTGAAGTAATTGAAAAAAATCCACCTCTCATTTCATTCCACTCAGTGTCAGGATAGTTTTGGTCACATTTTTGACTGCCAGGATAAACTATCTGTAACACAGTTCTTACTAGTTTCAACAGCTGAGAAAAATGTTTACTTTTTAATAAAAAACCCTCTAGGATCCTGCCATTAGTTGAGAAACAGTTTATATTGTGGGTGGGTTAGTGAAACATCTGACGTTTATCTCCATCAAATAAACTGCATGATTGTTTTATGTGCTGTAGTGCTTCCTAAGGCTTTATAGATGGTTTTGGCAGAGGTAGGATGTTGAATCATTGGCCTCGTAGAGATTAGCTCCTTATGTCTTGACCATCTTCTCTAATGCAGGCAGAATATGGAGCTTTGTCCTGTGAAAACCCAGTTCTTTTTTTAAGTGAATGCTCTCTCCTTGACAACAGAAGCTTGTTTTTGTTGAGGCCATCCTCATGAGTGGTACATTCATGCACGATTCAGTTGAGTAGGAGCTTTCCTAAATGTTGTAGCATAATGCAGTGCCACATTCTGGTAGAGCCACTCGTAGGGATATAACCCGATAAGGTTTTCTAGTAATCCACCAGGAAGACCAAGGTCTCCAGTATGTATAAGCTATGCTGAAAGGAATAGAAAACACGTGTGAGGTAAGTAGGACAAGGAATAACTAAAGCCTCTCTGACAGGATTATTATTCCTTTAGGAAATTCATTGTTTCCTAGGGGATGAAAATAACTATTACATTACTGTTGCTGTTGTGCAAAGTTCTCTATTCACAAATTTTTGTAATGGTGATTTTTTGAGAACTCCAGCCAGGGTCATTTAGTTGCTGCATAGACAAATAAAGGCAATGTATCCTTTTCCTACTCCCTCACTCCCAGTTGCTCACAATATACAAGTCAGGCCAGAGGTAATCAAAGAGACAAAGGGTGTTTAAGAAGGAGAGAGTGAGTTAGTAATAAATGAGCAGATACGTGTAGTAGAATGGAGGCCATTCTTAGAAAGGATCACAGCAGTTCTCTATTTAGTCTTTTTGGTTTTGAATAGAGAAAATACTGAAATTGCTGTCACTTGAAATGCAGAATGACACAGCAACAAGCCAAAGATGTGCTAGTTTAACTTTGAATGTAAATGTTTTAGATGAGCTCTAGATTTTTCTTTACTCCCCATTAATTTTTTAACTCATTTACCATCTCCGAGTTTGCTTCATTGGAAATGAAACGGATAATGGCTACTTTACTTTTGATGTTGACCTGTGTGTTAATTAATACTTGAAGAGTATTGTATATGCTAAAGATTACTAGTTTTGCAGCTATCTTGAAATCAGAACCATGTTGATAAATTAACTACAAAGCTATCTAACTTCTATTAGAAGTTTCTGATTCCTCCAAGAATGGTAAGATAGCCCTAGCCTTTTAATATAAAGAGTCACATAAAATCTTTGTTCTTCATGACAAAAAAATGTATGAACATCACCAAATTTTTTTCCACAGAAGTTAGCAAAAGGACATCCTGGATTTCCATAGCTTTTCTAGAGCAAAACCTTTCCAATGACATGTTTTCAGACATGTTTTCATTCTCATCTGTACTGCTTTGCCTGGTCTGGTTTTGCGTGCTTCAGAGGAAACTTTGTGAATTCCCGTGGTAGTATTGCAGAGTTTAATCTTGTAATATTGGGACTTACTTGATATTTCTTCAAACCACAGATGTCCAGTGTGTATAAAATACTACACTGGAGAGAAAAAGTTTATCAGGCATATGATAGTCCAAACTTTCTGCAAGAAAATAGCTCTTAGGAAAAACATCCTTCACTGGAAATTCTAGACCTCAGTCAGAGCCCTGTTGTTTTGGGCTGGGGCTTTCTGTACTTTGTACACGGGATTTTTTTTTCTGTCTGTTCTAAACAGTGTTTACTAAGAACTGTAAGGAAGGAGGAAAAAGTCAAATGCTCAGCAGGGAAGAAGACAGCTTGGATCAGTGGGTATCACACTGATCAAGGAAAAGATCAAATCATTGTTTTCCATAGGCACCATGAGGAATTCTGTATCTAACACGTGTTATATCCTCCTTTAAGAGAGTAACAGAATCTGGTCCCCTCTGAGTATCCCTCTCAGAGCTTTAAAAAGACCTTGAGGCCAGCAGATTTGCCAGTGGGTATTAGGAAAAGTAAAAATCCTATATCCATCTGGCTGGTAAAGAACCACAGGTTTTTTTTAATACAGTGATCGTGTAAGGATGAAACTGGCTGGTGGTTCATGCCAGAGTACTCCTGTCCTTGCTTTCTGGCTAGTCACTCACCCAGCTACTGTTGAGTTGAAGATATCAGATTGGTAGTGTTCACATTAATTATTTGAAAGCCCCTTTCAACTCAAGAATGAGAAAGTGTTTCCCTGAGAGTGAGGAGTGCCCATACTCTGAGGGTGGTGAGGCACTGGCACAGGTTGCCCAAAGAAGTGGTAAATGCTCCATCCTTGGCAGTGTTCAAGGCCAGGTTGGAAAGAGCCTTGGGCGACATGGTCTAGTGTGAGGCATCCCTGGCCCATGGCAGGAGGGTTGGAACTAGATGATCTTAAGGTCCTTTCCAACCCTAACTATTCTATGATTCTATGCTCACACTGAGATGTACCATGGCATGGTACATATATTCGTATTCTGTATATTCAATACCACGTATTCAGGTTCATGTTCTTTGCAGAGGGCCTCAGGTCATGCCAGGACACAGATCCACTAGAAGTCCATCAGAGCCAATGGGAACTTTTCTTTGCCAGTGGATGAGGTTTCTATTCTTATCTCAGACTTATAAAACCAGAACAACAAAGGTATTCAGGCTCCTGGCATCTCATTAGAAACTTGAAGTCCCACTGAAATCTGCAGAAATCTATATAGACTACTCTGATGTTCATCTGTATGCATACCAAATGTAAATTCTCTTAAATAATAATGGACATCTGTGAATATATTCAATCAGTCTGGGAAAAGCATCAGGGTTTGGGGTTTTTGGGTTTGGTTTTTTTGTCTTTTTGAAAATTAAATGAGTTGTATTTGGTATTGCTCAAGACTCATGATTTAAACGTTTTTAAAGCAGAAGCCTCAGCGACAGTAATAAAAATACCATGTTACGGGATGTGATATAGGGAAGTTTTTTTTCATGACAGCATTTTAAAATATCTGCCACTTTTTCACAGTCCTTTTAAAAATGAATGGTATGTTAGTGAAAAATATTTGAAGACGCAGCAGGATGACATAGGGCAGCACCCATAGAATTCATCACCTATTCGAACATGTGAAACATAGGAGATTTTCATAACGGGTGCAAGACAAACTTTGTTTATTTGCTTGTGCTCAGAAACGAGAGCTAATAAATAGAAACTAGTTGGAGATCTTAATTTTAAGTAGAACTTGCGTCCTAATGATAAAACAGAAGTACCATCTTAGTCAGACTAGGGAATAGGATGTGTTTTCATTCTGCTCTGATGTCTATCATAAAGCTGTCCAGATGTGAAGGTCTGTTAATTGATGGGTAGTTCTTCCTTATTTAATTCTTGCATGGTACATGCAGCATTGCTTTCGTGCAGATTGCCCAGCCCCTATTTAGTTTTCTTTGATTTCTAATCTCATGTTAAATTGTAAGTCTCAGCAATAAGGTGTGAACACTGAAACTCTTTGTCCCCAGCCAAATCCTGCTCACTCTTGTCCAATGCACGAGACCTCATCGCCTGTCACAAGCCTGCAGCTCATAGAGTCAGTAGCCACTATGAGGCTCCTCTTGCCTGATTTTGCACTTATCATCTTAAGTCAAGCTCCCTGTGGTGTTCCTAATATGAACAAATCATGTCTCTGTGTTTGTTTGTTTTCTCTCTTCCCCACAGGTAAAATTAGTATTTTCAAAGGAACCTTCAAAGCCGATGGCTCCACGAATCTTACCAAACCCGTTAGCAGCTGCGGCTGCTGCTGTGGCTGTGAATTCCCCCTTCAGTCTTCGCACAGCCCCAGCAGCCACCCTTTTCCAGACTTCAGCACTTCCTCCAGCACTCCTACGACCAGCGCCGGGGCCTATACGGACCACCCATACTCCTGTGCTGTTTGCTCCTTACTGAACTCCAAACAGGAATTAATTGTACTGCAATAATTTTTCAAATCAAAGCAAACAAAAAAAAACAAAAAAAAAAAAAAAAAAGAAAATCAAGAACATTGAACTATGCAGTGTTTATTTATAGTTTAAAGTATATATGAAGAGCCAGGACTTTTGATAGAGAACTGAACAAATTCTAAAAGGGGGAATGGGCAGTATTTTCTCCAGATGAGAACATTCCTCTTGAGTATTGATCGTTTTAGAACTGATCTCCAGCATTGACTTGTAGTGACATACAAAACTTATGAAGCCTTTGACTGTGCTTTTTGGCACATATTTCCCTGCAATGTCTTTCCTGCTTTATGAAACAACTTACAAATTTGTCTAAAGGGCATTAACTGGTTCCAATGTACATAAAATACTTTATTCTGTAGATTAAAGAAGAAGGAAAAAAAAAAAAAGAAACACTGTGAATAGTCATACCCTTACCAATCCTCCTGCCAAATCAGCAGTTACTGGGTATTTATCTGAACAAAAGTAGATATAATAGATGTCTTGTAAAACAGTAGTATTGTGTCTCTATCTATGCCACTAGGTTTCTAACTGAGTTGCAAAAGACAAAATGAAAAATTATGTCACTTTGGTAAGTAGTCAAAAATTATGACAATAACGTGGAGCTGTTCCTGGTGAGCAAAAATTGTTTTCCTCACCCAGAGAAGAATGGGCATGAAGATAATCTCTGATTAGGGCGAAGTAAATGGTGAAGAAGATTTAGTGAGACAAAAAAAAAATATCCAGATGCTGTACACAGAATAGGTCAAACTTCTATATAACTGAGAATGTATGTGTACAGTGTGTACTGTGTGTGTATATTCAAAAGGTGTAATACATACAGGATAGATCAATGTTTACGGCATGCCAGTGGACAGCAAAAACTACACTCTTGTCCTGAAACAGGCCTGATACCTTAGTGTTGAGCAGACAGAAGACACAAATGGGTTGCGCAAAGTCATGACTAGCAAATGAAAAGCAGGAGAGAAATCCTGGCCTCATCTGAGTCAGAATTAAGTTCCTTCTGACTGCAGTGTAGCCAGAATTTCATCCCAAGAATGGCACGTGTTTCTTTTATATCACACCAGTGGGAGTGTCTGTAGATCCAGGTAACGTTTTTTGCAACAGGCTTAGTCTTAGAAGCAGATTTATTCTCTTGTTTTATTTCCTACTGATGTGATATAAAATGTCTTAATATACCTATAAAATGTAAACAGCAACACATGAGATACATATTACAAGATAACTGCACATTGTGGGTTTGGAACAAATACAACCTTTAGGATCTGAAGGGACCCTTGAATTCTGTAGCTGACCTTTATATATGGACAGCTTAAAGCCTTATACATTTACTGTGAGGCTTAAAGGGGTTGACTGTGTCCCTTTAAAGTAAGATTTATCAGGGGTATATATAGATATATTGTATATATGTTAGAGTAAGAAAAATAACTTATAAACAGAAAATCTACTATATAAAATAATTATATAACCATTGAGTTTCACATGTGGGTCATTAAGTGGTAAGTAACAAACAGCAGAGAAAAAATAGACTTCTTGAATCTGATTCTTGCTGCCTGCTTTTTCCCATAGGGAGCTGAAAAGTATCTATTAATATTATGGAGTGCGCTGCTGAGTCGCATGCGACCACTCTGATGTGTAGCTAAGTGAAATACCTACCATACATTTAGGAGGAATAAAATTTAAAAACATAATTTAAGTTTAGATGTGGAAATTATTTGAAAGATTTTATTAAAAGGTAGTAATGCAAAATATTGACCATGTGGTTGCTATAAGATGCTGCCTGTGGTTAATGTGGACAGTCAGGAGATACAGAGGATGGAAATATACAGCACTTTTGACTTGCAGTTCATCAGTGAGCCTTCCATATA